TACAATGTAATACTAAAATTTTAAGACTTGTTCTGTAGCATAGAGAAAATATTGTGAAATTTTATTCTTCCATTTTCACTATTGGAGGCACAAATGAAGATGGGTTTATTTTTACTGAATGTGAAAATGATCATCATCAATATAGTTGCAACATTCTCTCTCTGCTCATTCTGTACTCATCATTTTTCAGTTCCAGATGTCATTTGCATGGTCCTGATGACATTGAGTATGGATATTGCAGAGGAGTGATAGCTTCCCTTTCGTATTGAAGCTGAAGCTTCAAAGAGAAGATTAAAGAAGTGTTTGTTATCTATCTGCACAGGCCTGATATGAAATTCTCAGAGGCTTTTAGGATAAACACAACTCTGTATGTGTGCATTTATGTACTTTTTCTTCTGTATACTTCTATTGTGGTCTTTGTATTTTGGTTTAAAATTTCTAATTTCAGACTCGTTGGATTCTCTGGCTAAAGGAGAATTGTTTTCAGAAAAACAGTATGAATTGGAAGATGTTGGCAGGATATTACTAAATCCCTCCTGAAGAGTATAGAATTCTCTATTGTGGAATTATATTTCTAGAGAACATGAAGAAGGCCACCCATGGAATATCTTTAACAAGACAAGACCAAGATCTTAAAGGTGTCCAGCAGAGACTAATCTGTGGTGCCCTCCAGTGAGGGATGCAATTGCTCACCTTTTGGGATTTCCTTTTAGAAGTGTTCTTTGTGAGCTTTGGAATAGAGGTGTGGCTTTTTAAAAAAACAAACTCCCTGTAGGGTTAATCCATAAATAATATTTAGAGAAAAAATAGAGGGAGAAAAGTTAGGATAGCAAGATACCTTCTGAAAAAGAAGGGAACTAACATTCCACTTCATACTGTTCCACATCAAGTTCTACATATAATTTTTATTGTCAGAATTTTCTTTTTTATTCTTTCCTTTTTTTTTTTTTTTTTTTGACAGGATCTCGTTCTATTACCCAAGCTGGAGTCCAGTGGCATGATCACAGCCAACTACAACCTCAACCTCCCAGGTTCAAGCGATCCTCCCACCTCAGCCTCCCCAGTAGCTAGGACTAGCATGTGCCACCACGCCCAGCTAATTTTTGTACCTTTTGTAGAGATGGGATTTCTCCATGTTTCCCAAGCTCATCTTGAACTCCTGGGCTCGAGCAATCCTCCTGTCTTGGCCTCCCAAAGTGCTGGGATTACAGGTGTGAGCCACCACACCCAACCTCAGATTTTTTTAAATTGACAAATGCAGTGGAATATATTTAAAATGCACAGTATGATTATACACACACACACACACACACACACACACACACACACACACGGTGAAATGATTACCTTAGTCATATTAATTAATACATTCATCACCTTACATGGCTTACATGGTTACCTTTTTTTTTTGGTGAAAATACTTAAAATCTATTCTCTTACCAAATTTCAAGTATGTAACACAGTATTATTAACTATAGTCACCATGCTGTACATTAGATCCTTAGAACTTATTCATCTTATGATCGAAAGTTTGACAGAAATATTTAATTACAGTATTACCAGGAATAAAGCAGGTTCTGCTATTTAACATCAACTAGATGAACCTACTACTTTATTTGATACTGTTGAGTTCTTAAGATATAACTACTATTGGCAGAAGCAATACTCTTAGTATATATGACTTATAAGATCATATTTCTTCTCGACTAACAAGAGAAACCAGGAAGCCAGGGCACTGTAAAGTAGGTAGAGAAAAGGACTGAAAACGTGTATTAGTTGGAGTGGGCATCATGGGACAGGGAGGCAGAGAAGAGGCTGAGATCATCAATAACATACTTTGCCTATTTAACAATTTACCTAGAGCACCTTTTAACTGCCACTGTATGACTAGGGTTTTTTCTGGGCCAATAAATGAGAACAACATTGGTTAGCACAGTTCCTGCTGTTGCCATCATCAATATTTTGGAAAGAAGAGAGAGAGAGAGTGTGTACATACACATGTGCACATATATGTATGCACATACTCGAACCCTAATTTCTATTTATATTAAATTAGAAGTTGGGTAATGATAGGAATTGGGGGTTAGGGAAGTGCCTCAAGAGAAGATGGAAAATAGCAAGAGCAGATAGAAAATTGCTCAGCCATTTGATGATTTGCTTGATTAGCTATGTTTTACAGAAAAGAGTTTTATGGAAAACTCTTCATGGTGGCCAGGTACGGTGGAAAGCTGCACTGTCTGCTAGGTGGAGACTGACCCATCATACTATTATTCACAACGTATTTAAGTTTCATCCAGTTTCAGCTTACATATGCCCCTGCATTGATATGGATGCTCCTTCTTCCCAGCTTTTGAAGCTTTCCACTTCCCGCCCCATCCTCTGCCCCTTCCTCTCCCCTTTGCTACTGCAGATGTCAAAGCTGTCCTGGAATTTCCTCACCCTCTAACCTAAGTATCTTACATTTTTCTTCACCTGATTGCCAGCGCAGAACTGTTCTGGAAAAGGAAAGGAACAAGGAAGGACAAATTGTCAGGTTTCTTCTCCACTTTCTTATGTCTGATAATGTTCCCCAAATTCAACTGTGAATTATGGCAACATACTTACTCTCCACTGACCTCTTCTGTCTTCATTTTCTGAAAATTTATCACACAGTAAAGAAATAACCAATATACTCACTGGGCTGATACTCTGCCCTGAGGAAGCCAAGCCTAATTTTAGTAATGTATGTACTAGAAGACACACCATTATCACCTATCTCCTTTTCTGCATCTTTTTTTGTGGTTTGTGGACCTTTTAAACTGCAAATTCCAAACTGCCTTATTTTTTTTGTTGTTTTCTTTTGTTTTGTTTTTGGTTTTTAGCAGGGTGAAGCCATGATTTTTAGTTTCTGCCTCTAGTGATAAGTGGAAAAGAGGGATGAGGAAGGGGCTTTACTGACCCATCAGAAACAGAAACTAAGAAACCATGACTGTATTCTCTCTCTTGGGCACCACTGCAAAATAATTCTATAAAAA